ACCTCCCAGCTGAACTCCTGCAGGAGACTTGCTGTCCGTCGAGCCGTGTGCGGCCTAGCGTTATCACTGACCGCACTTCACAGTCGGCGGGAGCTGGAATAAGAACCTCCATCTTCAACAGCTGCAACGATGCTACTGTGAGAACGCGGGAGGTGCCGTTAGTGCATGCGCCATGCTACGTCATTGCTCTATGACGCACGCAAAGTAGCTTCGCGCAATATAAGGTTTGCTAGCTGTGGGACGAGTGGGAAACTTACTTTGTGGACGCGCCTCGTATATATGTATAGGCTTAGTTCTCGGGTAGTTACACTTGTGCGTGCGTGCGTGCGTGCGTGTGTGTGACCCCGTCTGTTTTTACCATGCTCGCTGGCAGACCACTAAAACTGGAGGACTATAAAATATAAACGGCTGTCTTCTGGGTTGTTGCGCCATGTAGGCAGAAGTTTACCGACGTTTCAGAGGTCCTTACTGCTTCCATCATCAGGGCGAAGAGTTTACTTAGCTGGCATACATTTTATACTTGTTACCTACAGGCCAACATTTTCGTTAATTAAGTTTCCATGTATGGAGACCATTTGTTAATTCCCATTATATTGAGAACAAAAATTTTACCTCTTGTTTTGTATGATTCTGAAACTTTATCGTGTCAAGGAAAGGAGAGATATTTCGTATGTTCGACTCAAAAATGTAGAAAGTAATTGGGGACGAGAGAATTTGCGTGAAGAGGAACTTTATAATTTGAAGGCCACCGTTCACCTAATGCTTGCGGGTGTGTCGGAGTATATCATCTTCCAAAATGGTCATCGAAGAAACAGGGTGGGGGGAGTGGGCTAAATCCATTTGGTTGAGGTTAGGAACAAGCACTGAACCTTTGGGTACCATGAAAGGTGGTAAATTTTCTGACCGGATACGCGACTGTTAGCTTCTCAATAACAATTCTGCTACGTGGAATTATTTACAAATTTCTTGTTCGATTAGAAGAAGCCTTTAAAGTTAGAGTATCTCCAGGTCAGCTGATGCAGTGTTTGCCTACCCCGCAGGCCACCATCACGAAATATGAAGTTAACAGGATGACTAATATCGGAGTTATGATTCCACTGTGCCAGAAACCCTAATTGAAGTGCTGCAAGCTGCGTGAGAATGCGGCTGTCAACGAGATGGGGACTTTTAGAAA